AAAAAAAAAAAAAAAAACTTAATGACTTAGATCAATTAAATGAGAACTTTCTGAAACAAAGATCTAGGCTCAGTATTTTTCTAGAGTGCCCCTGGTCACAAAAATGTGCAGCAAACAGAGAGAACCACTAGTCTACATTCCCAAAAGGAGCTTGGGGTAGAATATCACGTGTCATCTGACATGGGTGGGGTGGAGACAGTGTTTCAAACTACACCCCTTCCTCCTAAGTGGAAGGTCCCAAGTTAGAGCAAACCTTGTTACTACAGGAAGAGTCCTATTCTTCCAATGTGCTGGCTGAACTTTGGTTATACATTTAAAAGCTCATTTAGAGGGCCGGGGATTTAGCTCAGTGGTTCCAGCGCCTGCCTCTCAAGAGCAAGGTCCCGAGTTCAATCCCCGGTACCAAAAAAAAAAGCTCATTTAGGAAGCTCTGAAAAGATACTGATGCCCAGGATCCATTCCAGACCATGTGAATCAGAATCCCTAGAAGTTTGTTTAAATATCCCAGGTGAACTCGATGTGCTGACACAGTTAAGGATAGAGGTAAGAGACCCCAGAGTATACAAAGAAGCTAAATATTCTCACCGTCAGGCCTTCGTTATTCTTGCCCCCAAGTGTATACAGGCTTCCATCATTGGGATCTGGGAGAAAGGCAGGCCTAGAGATTAAATAATAAATATCAGTGATAATGGATAGCCCGGCACAGAACAAACTATCAAAGTCATGCAAAGCCATAATACAGTAGTAGAGATTAGGGGGTGTGTGTGTTATGTGTAGTGCAGTGTGGTGTGTGTGTGAGACAATTCCACCCACTGCTCCCTCACTGCCACCAATACATAAAATACCCCTATAGTGTGCAGAAAAGCAACCTGTGGAGAAAGTCATAAGAAACCACAGCAGAGTAAATCATCATTTAGCCGAAGCACTCTGGATGAAGGTAAAATAAGTGGAAAGGACCCAGCAAGTCCACTCTTCAATTGCACATAGAACTTCCAATAATTAATATTTAAATTAACAGCATGGCATGATACTTGAACAGGTAGAACAACTCTACCTTTAGTTTTCAATAAACATTTATTTTTCGAACAGAGGCAATAAAAGCAGACTGTGAAAACTGATGTCAGAGAATCTGCCATGGAGATGAACATGAAGCAGACAGGAGGGGGTCTTCTGTAAGGTTAATCTTCTGAAGACTGAACTGCAACTTGAGTTGCTTGGAAACCCCTTGCTAAATCTCTTTTCAGTGTAGGATCCACCATCACCCCAGGCTCTTACACATGACACCCAATTTTTCACCTAACACGTGTACGCTAGGGGCAGGCCATGATCATCCTCCCTCTCTGTGGTATGGCACAGCAGAAGGAGAGATCCAGACCGTGAAATTTAAGTTTAAAACTCAGCAGGGCGGGGATGTAGTTCAGTGGCACAATACCTGCCTGGCAAGCACAAGGTCCTGAGTTCGATCCCCAGTACCAGAAAAAAGTAAAATAAAATAAAACTCAGCTTAAGTTTCATCTAAATAAGCCTTTTCAACACCACTGTCATCCTTCCTGAAGGAATGTACCACCCCCTCCCTGACACAGGTTCCCATCAGAGCTCCTGTGAGACTTAGTATGTTTTACTCTTTTCCTCTTTCTTTCAGTGCTGGGGATTGGACCTGGGGCCCTGCATATGCTCAGCAAGCACTCTACTACTGAGCTGCACGCTCAGCCCTCACTCATTTTTGTTATGCCTAAACCTTGCATGTGTGTATCCCAGCTACTAGCCTCCTAAATGCGGACTGAATAAATGAGACAAAGAATTAAAGAGAAGTTCTGAGCAAATCAGAAAACTTACTCTTCCACGTGTGTTGGGACCTGCAGGACCGGATCTGTGCAAAAGAACAAAGGCATCATCAGACTTGCTTGAAAACATCCTGGGCCCCAGTCCCAAGTTATACCAACAATAGAGGTTGACTTACATGAGATAATGTATGTGAGCAAACTTCAGGAAACACACAAAGACACAATTATAAGTTCTTATGACTGTCACTATGGTCAGCTTGAGAACTGATATCAAGAAACTGCCATATAACTTGGAGGATGAACACAGAAGGAAGAACCAGTCATAAGCCACAGTGGACACAGAGTGACAGGATCAGTATCTGGAACATCAAGGACTTCTAAAACCCAAATCATTACCTTGGCAGATACCTGGAGGAGTACTAGATATTCCTGTTCAGAAATGTCAAACTGTGGCTTAAAGAACAGATTTTCACTGGATGGTAAATGGAGATACACCCCTTTGGAGCAGCCTATAATAGCAATCCCAGAGCTTTCAAGCCTTGATTCCCTTTGATCCATTAACTGGAGTTCTATAAAATCTAGTTTTAAAATAATATAAATATGGAAATGATTTTATATGGATATTCACAGTATCATTATAAATGTCTTCACTATGCAATAATAATATGGTTAAATTATGGAATATCTGCTTGGTAAAAAAAATTAAGGTTTCTAAAAGGGCTAAAAAAGTTTTAAAATGTGTAAAATCTTTATGCTGTTAGGTCCAGGAAAAAATATAACATTGTACAGACACTATTAATGCAACTATGGGGGAAAATCTTCTATAAACATAGAAGAAAACTAGATGAATTCAAAAATGCTCATTCTGCATTACTTTTGTTGGCACTATAAGCAACCTCCTGACACACACCTTTTCTATATTTCTCAAAATTTGTACAGGCATTGCTTTTTAAATTAGGAAAAAGCTTTTTTCTCTGTCAATTTCATATTCACAGCAGTTAAAAATAGCTGAATTTCCCCTCCCTAAATTCTCCTGGGCAGCACTACCAGGAGGCTCTTGATTGGCTGGGTAGATGGTAGTGAAGTGAAAGGGCATGAATGGCAGCTGTGCTGTAACATCCAAAATCCTCAGGGCAGAGACTGCACACAGAGGAGGTATTGCTAGCAATCAAAACGCACAGCTCCAGTCACATACACAACTTCACAGAGCTGGGGGCGAGGGAGCAAACATTCTACTAGGACTTTGTGTGCAGAGTTCCAGTGGCTCTGCTTATGGTAACAGACAGCTGTCCAATCCTCCGTATCACTTGAGATTCTTGGATGAAGGAAAATCTTTCAAGCCTTATCATATACTGACACTGGTTTAACAGCCCAGGTCCTACACAAAGATACATAGCACTCACAACAACAGAATTATACACACCAGATGTGGTCTGTGGGCAGCAAACAATTCACTAAACCAAAAACACTTTAGGAAACAGGATGAACTTTCAGTCAGTAAATGTATGTTTATCTTTCCCATTAATCACCTCTCGGTACACTCTCACAAACAGACTGATGCAAGAGACAGGAAACAAAGGCACACGACATTCACTGACTGAAACAAACTAGTCAAGGTGCAATTAGGACCCAGGTACTCCAATGTGGCCCTGAAGCCATGCAAGATAGGAAAAGTAAGACTGTCCTATTCCAGAGAAAGCAGGGCAATAAAAAAAGGCATCTTTTAGTTTATTTCAGCCACTCAAGGTATCATACATAAAAAGGACACTGCCAAAGCCTAGGAATTCACCAGAAACAAAACAGAGACTGACATGATTTGAACTCCTGTTCATAACCTGATCCTTGCTGTAGTGTTTGCTCAGTCTCACGGACTTGTCTTCGGATGCAGATTTTCCTGGATTTCTATAGTTTATGGACTGGTCACCTGATTCTGAGGCCTTAGGTCCCAGGATATGCCCTGCACCATAAGATACAGGATGTCAGTGGAAACAGGGAAGGATTTCTGGTACAAATATACTGGTGTGTAAGAACCAGGCTTGTTAGTCTTAGGAGAAGATGACCAGTGGGAGGGAACCCTAGGATCACTTTAGTATTCACCATTTATTCATTAACACCACATACCTAGATAACCAAAGGTGTGGGCAAGGGAAAAACCCAACCACTAAGACAGCTCTGAGAGAGGTAAGAATACTGCTGCTTGGCTTCTGAGGTGCAATGATGACCTATTCTATAGATATTTTTCTTCTTTGGAATCATTTGAATCCAAGATTTGCCTGACTATATTACAGAAAATAATTTTATGGGGGAACCAATAAAACAAAGTATTGGGGTTATAACTGTGAAAGATGGATAAACATCATTAGGGAGTCATTCTACTATTCTTTGTACATATGCTTGAAATCTTCCATATTACAAAAAGGGCAATCACAAGTTTGAGGCCAGCCTGGGCAACTTAGCAAGACTTTGTCCAAAATAAAAAATAAAAAAGTGCTGGAGATGTAGCTCTGTGGTAAAACACCACTGAGTTCAATACCCAGTACCACCAAAAAAGGTGGGGGGTGTTAAAGCTAAAGCCAGGGATGGTGGCACATGCTTGTAATGCAGCAAACTGGGAGGCTAAGGCAGGAGAAGTGAAAATTTGAACCCGGCCTAAGTAGGTTAGTGAGGCTCTGTCTCAAAATGAAAAAATAAAACACTGTAAAAGGGGTGGGAATGTAGCTTAGGGTGAAAGCCCTGGGTTCAATCTGTAGTACCACACACACACAGAAGAAGAAAGAGGTTAAAGATAAATATCCTTGGAAAGCTAGCAAAATAAAAACAAAAAGCATCATGGGAAAATGTGCAGTGAAAAGCAACAGGAAAAAAGTCTTGGCTTTTTCTTTCATAGTGAGAATTGGTATCAAGCAAGATTCTTGCTTTTAAAAAAAGTTTTCAGCCATATGAGAAGAAACCCTAGGTAAACTATAAGACTGTAAACAAATATTCCTATAAAATAAGCCATTTTGTCTATATGGAGCCTGATGAAGAGGTCAGCCAACCTCATCAAGCTGTTTTAGTTTCAGGAAAAAGAAGCAGGGAGGGTTTCCTTCACAAATGTAAAAATGGGTGTTGTTCAAGATAAACGTGGGGTTATCAGGTAAAGATATGGGAAAATATTGCTGAAATCAATGTTTGGTTTCCCAGGATTAGCTCAGGAAAAAAAAATCAGTGTGCTCACTGCTGCCCTGGCCTCAACTCCATCCCCTTGGTATCAGCTTGGTCTGAAACACAAAGCACAACCTTTCCACTCAAAGAAAACAACTTCCGGAATGAGCTCAGGTGATACTCTACTGTTATGCTAACCTAATCTTCCTTGCTAACCTGAGACTGAAATGATAAGACAGATGTTCACATTTTTCCTATGTCCAAGTTTATAAGA